ACTGAATGCATTATTTACAATATATTCCAGATATTGGCTATTGTAGGCTTACCCGTTACTCTTTCATACATCTCTTTTGCCCCGTCATTGACTGTTGGGTAATTATCTGAAGCATAGAAACACCCGAAATGACAGCTTCATCATAAATAATATCCAATTAACTGCCATGTTATAATTATTTTTAGATTGTTGTAATTTACCTGCTGTTGTGCCTTAAGTATAATAAATAATAAGAGTCATTGGCAAGATGTAGATTAAAAAACTTAAATAAAAACATACTTTCATCCCGTGAATTATTGTCGCATGTATAACCATTTATACCATCAAGATCTAAGGTCATTTATTTTAGTAAAAGAAAATTCACTCCCAATCAATTTTCTAATTATAAATTAAGTACATGTCATTTAAAGCATTGAAAACAGATTGATAATTATTTCATATAACTGAATCATTTACTTTGATTTCCGGTTGCATGTCCCGAATTGTTTCTAGTTCTCCATTGCTCAGCAACTATTTATAACGTATGCAAATGATTTGTTTAAGGTATAAAGTACAATATAGGCATTTGGAGAACATTTAAAGATGAGTGTTTTCGACAGTCACATACAGGCTTTCAGTTTGATAAAATTATCAATTAAAGGTCATATTTTAATAACAAATCGAAAATAATTTAACATACCTTTGCGAAGTATAGGAACTGATCTTCTTCCACGAGTGTGAATATTCTTTGAAGACGAAACTCCATCTGAATCTGCGACTTCAAGGAGCAAATAATATCTTCAGAATTGTTTCTAATGCCATTTTGCAATTATAAATCATTGAGACGATTAAGTAATAAGCATAGCACAGAGTGGACTCTATTGAGCACTATCGTGTTAATAGAATCGATTGCCAGTCTCATCTTCCTTGTCTAAAGTGCAGCGCAATTTAAATGTGAAGAGGTGGCGTAATCGTCCATTAAAGTGAGCCATTTAGTTAAAAGATCGCGAACACAAATGCACCCATGTAACTGTCAATTCAATCGAGCAATGTGAGTACGCACACAATTGGCATGGTCTTTGAGAGGTCATGAGAACACCATGCCGCCGCAAATCTAGTGAACACAGATTCTTGTTGCCTTAAACTAAACCATTCCTCCTTCTTCACACTCCAACCATCCGAGTGATGTCCCAGTGGAGTCCTCGGCTCTTCACTTTGCTTGAATATCCTCCTGTGATTGCTTTGTCTTTGAATATTGCCTTTCCCACTACCAAAATTGAACTATATCAATTTTAGTTAGAAGCACAAACAC